ATATATATATATATATATATATATATATATACGTTTACATTCATATCCCAACCGTATTGAGACACATTCGACGGGACGATTATTATTAACGTCTGGTTGTAGAAAAAACAGGAATATTTTTTCAAAGGCATGTTTCCATTTTTGATATTCATAACGCTATTTTGATAACAACAAATAAACCTATTTTTAAATTTTTGAATGCTAAATATATTTTAAAATTCAATTGATATACAATTCAAGCAGCAGCAACAGCATTAAAGCCACATAAATAAATATCCTAATATACGGTTATGTTCGTAGTATTAAAATATTCAAACTACTTTTGTGTATAGGTCGCAGCATGGTGATTTCCACGTCTATGAGCGTGGGGGACTTCGATCTGCTCAGCGTCGTGGGCAAAGGCGCGTACGGCAAAGTATTTCTCGCGCGAAAGAAGGCGGGCCGCAACGGCGGCCGCGTGTACGCGATGAAAGTCCTGCGCAAAGAAGATGTGTTTCGGAAGAAGCAGGTGGAGCACACCATGTCTGAGCAGCGGATCCTCAAGCATGTGGAGCACCCGTTTGTGGTGCATCTGCGGTACGAGACAATAATAATTGAATTCATCCGAGTGTAGGATATATATATATATTGAAAGTATAGAGTATTCGTTTTGTTTTCGGGTTTTCTAATGTTGGTTGTGTACTTTTGAACGTGTCGACTGGCTGTGCGATTAGGGTTTACGGATGATAGCTTGAATGAATTTTTCTTTTAAAAAAGATATGGACAATTTACGGATGATAGCTTGAATGAATATTTCTTTTTAAAAAAGATATGGACAATTGATTTATATTCATAAATGTATTATCTACTGTATTTATAATAGAGACAACGTGTTTGTGTCCAAGTTTATATCAGGTATCGTGTGTGATGCAATATTTTGCGACGGCAAGGTTTTACCTGAGTACTCAAACCTGGTTGAGTTTTGGCAGGAAGAGTCTGGATTTGATGTTACCATTTGTATATGCGTTTGATGTTCTTCTCTACTTGTTCCATATGTGAAGGCTCAAGCCGTTCTATAATGTCTTTTGTGACCTATATATATATATTTTTATATACAAGGAAATAGTCTGTTTTTGATGATTTGATTCTTCCAGCTATAAACTAGCATTGCTGTCTGTGTACCGTATTTGCCAACTATTTGCACTATGCAATCAAATTGGCACATTTTCATTGAAAGATGTCATGTCTTTTCAATAGTGCAATATACATACATGTACAGACTTGATTAAATATATATTATATTGAATATTTCAATAAATAATATCATTATATTCTATTTACGTTTGCTCTCTCTTTCATGTGTGCACATCAGATCCACCCCTGGTTTGGCTACATACATTTATATTCATTTGATTCTATCATCATCATGCGCTGTCTTGTTGTTTTAGCCCTCAATACACATGAACAACCACCTAAAACTATATCGTATATCCTATATATATTTTTACGTAAATGTAGATATGCATTCCAATCCGACTATAAACTGTACTTGGTCATGGACTACTTACTACCAATACACATGAACAACCACCTAAAACTATATCGTATATCCTATATTTTTTTTTACGTAAATGTAGATATGCATTCCAATCCGACTATAAACTGTACTTGGTCATGGACTACTACCACGGCGGGTCGTTATTTGTGCACTTGAAACAGCTCAAGCACTTCCCCGAGGCGCGCGCCCGCTTTTACGCGGCTGAGCTGGCGCTGGCCATGTCCCATCTGCACAGTTTGCACATCATGTACCGCGATTTAAAGCTGGAAAATATCCTCATGGACGCCGACGGACACGTGGCGATCACGGACTTTGGCTTGAGCAAGGAGGACGACGAAGCGTCGACGTTTGTGGGCACCCCCGAGTATTTGGCCCCGGAACTGCTCAGTTCACAGCGCACGGCCACGAGCTACGGCAAGTCGGTCGACTGGTGGAGTTATGGGGTACGTTCCAAGTTGTCAAACATAAATACCCGTGGTTTTACATCGTCTCATATGAGACATGGTGATATCGAACGTGTTGGGGATGTCGTTGTGTATGATGTCCCTGCAATATGTGTTTGATTGTGTAGTAGGTCGTGTATGTCGATATGTGGTCGTAGTTTCGAGTAGAAATACGACCACATATCGACATACACGACCTACTACACAATCAAACACATATTGCACTCCGCGCAAAAGTCCAAATGTTGGGGATAACTGTATTATATATATATAATACCGTTAGTGTATTATATATATATAATACCGTTATCCCCAACATTTGGACTTTTGCGCGGAGTGCAATATGTGCCAAATTATTTGATCGATTGATAATGCGTTGTCGTGAATGTTGTATGTAAAAAGGTGTCCTGTGGTGCTTGTAATCACACTAATTTTGAAGTCACACACTAATTCGATGTTCATGATATTTTCATCTGATTATTGGCTCAATACTGATACCCATTCTTCGATTCGTTTGGTCGGGTCGTTAGAATAAACCCAACAATACCAATATATTTTTGGGGATTTTACATGGCTTTGGCTTAGTTTTCGTTCAGTGGTGTTGTGTGTGTGTGCCTGCCTGATTGTTGTCTTGCTTTGTGGTATATATATATATAAATAAGCGACAAAGCAACATATATATATATATATTAATTTAATGGAAATGGGGGGGGCTATATGCATTGGAAGTGGAGGGTATATATATATATATATATATATTTGTCATTGTACGTGCAATAGACTGTACTTTTTGCAATGGATGCGTTTGATCCGGTTGTCTACTTACTCCCTCAGTTTAACGACATAATAATGTTTGTATTTATGTATCTGTAGGTACTGGTGTATGAAATGATTCGTGGCCAAACTCCGTTTTACGACAAGAACCGCCGGGCGATGTTTCAAAACATTTTGACCAATGAACCGCCGTTCCCATCCACGTTGTTTTCGCCCACGGCCACCTCCTTTTTGCAAGGTACACAAATAAATACCCCCCTCTTCTATCTCGTGCCAATGATATATAGATATATATCCCGCATTCATTATATATACATATATATATATATTGCATTCGCTGATACATTCAATCACAGCCGTCCTGGTCAATCGTATATCTAATCGCATATATATATATTGTATTCATTCATACCTTCTGTTGCAGCTCTCCTGGTCAATATATATAATTCTCTCATACATTCAATTGCAGCCCTCCTGGTCAATCATATATATATATATAATTTTCTCATACATTCAATTGCAGCCCTCCTGGTCAAGAACCCCGCGCAGCGACTCGGGTGCGGCCCCAACGGCCCCCACGACATCATGCAGCACCCGTGGTTCGCCGGCATCGACTGGCAGGCGCTGCTCGACCGCCGCGTGGAAGCGCCATTCCGACCCAATATCAAGCACGGCCACGATATATTCAAGTACGTTGTAGTTGTATGTGCCTGTGTATAGCTGCTTGTTTGTGGTGGGTATGTGATATATATCCGTCAAAGAGGAAATACTCATATATTATATATCTTCTAATACACGGGGGCAGCATGTGCGTTTTCTTTCGGTGCATTTTGGTGTTTGAGCTTTGACGATATCGCGTGATTCTGCTTTAGGAGGGCGTTGATATTGATCCTTGATATGTATCATATATATCATATATCCTTGATATATATATATATCACTGGAATATTATACATTTGTTTTCAGCCTATATCCAAGCAATCTTTCGGTTTCTTGTTTGTCGAGTGGGTGTGTCCTGGTGGTTGGTCCAATATAGTTCGATATAACTATTTTCGAGGATATATATATAATTTCTGATGGAACAACGATGTAGCTACGTCCCGGCCTCGTTTCTGCAGCAAGAGGTGGCCGATTCGCCCGTCGTGACGTCTTCCGTGTTGAGTGGCTCAATGCCTGGGCGCCACACGATGCATTTTGATAACTTTAGCTACATGGGCAGCGACATCATGGGCTCCCGGCGCACGTCTCTCTTTCGAGAAAGTGACTTTCGAATGGAAGGTGCGTAGCCGCGAAACTATATATATATATATATATATAATGTTTGGGAGGTTTACTCGACAAAGCACTTATTTTGTCTTTATATGTGCTCTCGTGTGTATGGGTGGTTGGCTGGATTTGGTGGTTGGTGAATTGGAAATTTTTTCCGACTGGGATGAATATATATATATATATATATATATCTGAAGTCCCCACCATCTCATACGCAAATAAAACAATGTAGACGAAGACTCGTAACCGTTGGCCGCAATTGTGGTGCATGGCAAAACTGACATTGGCAAATACCAGGCTGTAGTTCCTTTCCGAAACATGTTGATATATATACGTTTCCTGTCCGTCTTGACTACAGTATATATATATATATATATATACTACGTACTACTACAGCCTATATATATAAAAATATATAGGCGCAAAGGGTACAAAATAACAGTAAGTAAGAATTCACACACAAAGAAGATTCGGCACATCAATGATTCCTTCAGCTTACAAGGCTACACTATTTACCCTCATGTTAACCGGATACGGTAAAAGATAACGTAAGTTTTGAGGACGGAGCTACCAGATTTGTTTTAGCAGTTTATCGGATTCTGTAAGCCACACCGTCAGCATAGCGGCAGTGGCGGTGAAGTGCGTGAGGCCCATACGCTGCACCTTTGCTCCCAAGAAGATCGAGTGCCACAGGTAGGCGTAACATCCGGAGCTGGTCCCGGCAGCTACATGCGCCGCCGTCCGCTTGCTGTCGTGGCGGCGGTAGGCCAGGGTGCCAAACACAGCATGGTGCGCGGTGAGGCCCAGGAGGCCGGCGTAGGAAACCATGTAGCACCGTCGGCTGGTCTGGAACGCTTTGTCGAGGCGGTGCTTGGTGACCAGCCCCATGACTGAATGGGCGTGCCGCGTCGAGTGGTTGAACTTGGGCACTTCCTTCTCGTATTGGAGCACGCCACCCACGCCCCACATGATGCTGGCTAGTCCTTCGAGCACATTGGACGATATGTGGTGCGCTTGGTGGGGGATGTGTGGGTTTGAGGACACCAAGTACGCCATGCGCCAGTCGACGACTCCAGACAGCCCGATCAGCGGATGGATGAGGCGGAACACGTGGTGCGATGTAGTGGCAGCTAGCGGCATTGGCGTGGGTGTGGTCATGGTGGTGTTCTTGTGGTGATGTTCGTAATGTGAAGGTGGTGGTGGGAGAACGAGCTGGCTGCTCACCTCAGATGTGCCGTGTGACGATTTCTGTGTGATTGAAAGTGAGAGATTGGCTGGCGACACCTGTGTATTCCAAGTCGAAATAGTCCAGTGCTGTAATATACTCATTGTTTTCATTACGTTTCAATACACGAAATGATATACTCGTGGATATTCTGAAATATATTTGAAGAAAATGATCCGAAATGAGACAATCCATACATTTGACGTGGCTGCAGGCAGGCAGTATAAACGATGCCATCGACTTGTATAGTTAATATTAATACTACGTAGTAGTAATTTCAGTACTAAGTCTTACTATTAATACTAGTATCAATACCTCGAAAGCGTAAAACGCAGTAGTACTGGCTCGGACACGTTGACATAACTGGAGGTATGCAATGATGCCTGCCACATAACGAGGAATAACTAACAAAAATTAACTCGATGTCTCATAAAGTTGCAAGCGGAGCTACTGTAGGGGGGTGTCGACGGGAGACGATGTCGCCATTGCCCCAATGCAAATCCGCTTCACCAGTCCATAGACCGATCACACCTCATTCATCACCACAGTGACCACCTTGGTCATGCACACATGTGACCACAGTTGCAATGACCACCAGGCGCCGCATCTGTGGTCTCCTCCTCTTTGACGTTGTCACAAGACGATATTTCAACGATCACCGACTCGGAGGCAACACATTGTTGTTGGCTTGGCATCGTTGTCGATCGTCGGAGAAGAAAAAACGATTGGACCTAGTGGCTTCAGGTTGATCCCCAAATGATTTTTACTAGCGAGACGATCCAGAAACCTACTATGGCGGCTCACTCGGTGCCCAACCTGTTGAGCTTGGCCAAGGTGATTCCTGTCTTCCCCAATGGCGGTCATTTGGTTCGTTGGCCCAAGACGTAACACGTTTGTACCTAGCAAATAGTTATTATTTTTGGGCGATCAGTCTGAAGCTACTACGTCCAGTCGTTTCTCCTCCGACGATCGACAACGACGCCAAGCCAACATCAGTGTGTTGCCTCCATAATTGTTGCAATCGCCAACCTCCTCCACTTACACAACTTCCATCATCGAGCTCATTTCCATATTATGTACTATTATTAATGCAAAATACTTATTCATCAATCATGAGTGACCTTGGCAGCATATTGCACATATGTGCCGGTAACCTCGAGTATCGACTTGTCGGAACCAAGAAAAGGGTTTAAAATTACATCGCCAACGTCCCCAAATCATTGTGTGTTCACAGAGTCATGAAGGTTGTTTCGACGATATTGAAAGCCTACATCGATCCTCACACTAGTTTTATTAATAGTAAGTATATCACAGGGATGCCAATATGTCCCTCTCGATGTAACGTTAAGTTTTTGTGTGCAGTCGTTCCGTAGCACTAATATCTCGAGCCCCACAATCAAGTCAGGCTCCTTGTCGCCCCCTCTCACTCGTAGCTACGTCGTCCGCCCAACACAAAATCATCCACGAACGTATCGTTTGAGTACATGCATCATCCAAGCACGGAAATACTTGCTTTTGGGGTTTCTTAGCGATAGTATTATTGTTTTGCTAAATGTCTATTCGACCATGCAATGACATTTGAAAGCGGGTGTCTGTCGCTCCTATTTTCTGGCTAATATTAAGCCTCACCTAGCGGCAAGAGCGACTGAATGGTCGACCCAAACACGCGATACAACGCCCGCCGGACTTCGATGCTGTTGGTTTGAATCAGCTCCGTGAGCAGCGGATACAGCCACGCCAAGTGCATACCCATCTATGATTTTGTATTGTTACGTAAGTCGATTCGAGATTGGAGTGTTTGGGTACTCAATCGAATGAGCAGCACCAAACCGGCAGACAATCGATGATCGACCAATCAAAATCCAGATCACGAATCAAGTAGCCAATCCAATCCACTATTCGCCATATTCAACATCGAATTAGTGTGTGACTTAAATTAGTGTGACCCTGGACAAAAGTCAGTACAACGAATCGATCGATCGATTTGGCGAATCAGCCCAAAATCCAAAGTTTGGGTAAAAGAAAGACAATATTTAGTATTCTAAACTTGAGCGACACAACCATATAAATGTACACAAGGAACGGCAGAAGAACTTAGCCAATCAGATTGCAGGAACCACCATCAACATTGAATTAGTGTGTGCCTTTAATTCATGTGATTCCCATTATTGTCGATTTGATAGTACAAATTTGGGGACAGGGTGCAATCGAATCGCGCCGACCAAACCGATCCACAATCGATCTGATTGGTTGAATTTCATTGAGAAATGGGTTTTGATTGGCTAATAATTTTGAGCTCATCGGAGGTAGCCAATTAAATCGATTTAAATTCCAACGAGAAACCACGCCACAACACAATGAAATTTCACTCGAAAGCACAATACCACAGGACAACTTTTTGAATACCAAAATCAGTCCAAAGAATCGATCGAGAAGCAAATTGGCGAATATATAAATATGTTGGGGAAAAGGACAATATATAGTCGTTTATCATGTCAAGTTTACACCTCTCGAACGAGTGAGACAAATCAACCCATGTTTCAAAAATAGAAATATCAAACATCAAGGCTAGTTAATATATATATATATATATATATCAACGATGTAAGGTATCATAGTAATTAATATGAGTTACTCACCTCGGCGCGTGATAAGAGCACCAGTTGGTCCAGAATGTCCACCACGAGCGGCACATATCCGTACGAACGTTGTCGCAGATCCATACTTTGCGACCTGGCGTCGCCTTTTTCATTGCTCCACAGCAAATACTCGTTCAAGCTGGATTCAACGATCCTACAACGCCAAGAATATGATTCTATAAAGAACAAGATTTCTTTTATAAAATCGTACGCTTTAAATTCAACCCGAAAGCGAGGCAAGTGGTAGCACACAGCTTTAAAGTACTCGCGCGTGCCCGTGATTTCATGTGCGACCATATGCGGCAGTTCCTGGGCGCTTTGGCACCCGTACCGCCAGTTTCGATTCAATAAGGCGAGCCGCACATTGTAATTGTCGTTCAATTGCCTTGCAAATGCTATGCTCTCTCGAAGGCACGTCTACATGCAAATAAAATTTCACGAATTTAACCAGATATTTTTATGTTTATATTTTTCAAACTCAAAACTCGATCGACAGACGAAATGGGGCAACAAGGATGCAGCCAACCAATCATGTTGTCGTAAAGCAATCACGTCGACCCATCAACACGTGCGTGGGACATTACAACCCAAAGCGAGCTTTAATATGGATACATCCTCACTCAAAGCTAAATGTTGGACGGCAAGGGCATGATATATATATTTCACAAGTTGAACCCTTGACACAAGTTTGGATGTATATGCACAAGTTTGGACTTGTATGAATGATTCAATGTGTATGTATATCCAAACTTGTGTGAAGGACTCTCTCTCTATATATATATACATAATATCCAAATCTATGTGAAGGATTCAATATGTACATAAATCCAAACTTGTACGAAGGACTCAATATACATATATATATATATATATAACATGCACATGTGTTTGAAGGATGCAATATGTACATATATCCAAACTTGTATGAAGAACACAATATATATATATATATATATATA